ATTAGTAATGATTTGTCATTTTATTTATTTATTTATTTATTTAAATAAATAAATAAATAAATAAATAAATAAAATGACAAATCATTACTAATGTCAGGTAGGAACCTGAAGTGTTAGGATACCAGATTTTTAAAAAAGAATTAATTTCCTTCTTTCTGTTATTATAAGCATCTAAAGTTATAACAAAACCAGTACTATGATAATTAAATGCAAGTTCTGTATGTGAAGACAATGGGTTATGGACCTGAAATGTCACCTGTTTACCTGAGTGGGTTTTCTCTGAGGTATTCTGCTTTTACTGGCATCAGAAATGGGTCTGGGGGTCAGATGGTAAAGAAGTGTACATACTGCTCAGACTTCATGATTTTTTTCAGAGCTGCTAAAATTACCTTAATGTGGCTATTACTAATTATAAACTATTATAATCATAGGTGATTTTATTAGAATACTTGGTACTATATGAAGGAAAGCTTTCTATACTCTGCTAGCATTGCCAGAGTTGTTTTTTTGGTGGAGGGGAGGGAGGGGATATGCACCTTAGGGTTTGTTTTTTTTTTTTTTTACTTAAATAGGACCATATTATTCATATTGTTCTATACTTGCCTTTTTCATTAATGAGATATCTTAGCTATCTTTGTACTGTAGAATCACATACAAGGCTGCAAAGTTTGACACCATGAAAGCACCAACACTTATTTAACCAGCATCCTATTGTTGGACATTATATGGTTTATTTCTTTGCTATTACAAACAATACTTCAATGAAATTGTACATATATTGTATAATGGATTCCCAGAAGTGAAATTGTTGGGTGAAGGTAAGGGCACTTTTAATTCAGAGATTTTTCTTGTTGGACGATCAGTGTCCCACATCTTCAAACAAGAAATTGAATTTTTTAAAAACATCATTTTGGTTTCAGAAAAAGAAATAATAGTCACCTACATTATTTACAAATAAATCCAGAAATATTCATTTAGGGTTAACCAAAGAAGCAATCCCAGAACCCCATGCACTATTATGAGATTCAAATAAAAGATACAAAAAAGGTTATATATTTTATCTTTACTTAACAGACCTTTTAGCTTACAAGTAATTAGATCTGTCAGAGAAAACAAAAAGCAAAATACATACCGCTGCACAAACTGTGTGCTTCAGGAGTTGAAATATTGTTTTGTCCATATGAGATAACCAAGCTCTCTGGATCCTTTGAGCTGAAATATCTTTATTAGCTCTGAGAAGAAAAACAAGAGGTTAACATTAATGAAGTAGTTTTCATTTTCCTAAAATCTCGGGGAACTCTGAATTTATGCTTCTTCCCCCTGCATTCTCCCATCCCCTACCCTAAGACTGACCTAATGAGGAACATTTGGATGTGGTAATTGGAACTGGTCATTTGCAGAATCTAGTCAGAATGAGGATTTAAGATATTTGAGAATATTTCCCTTGGGATTAAAAAAAAGTCCTGGCTAAAACTTTATCAGCAAAAGGCATATATAACTAAAAATGTAAGAAGAGACAAATTTGCTTTCTAAAAACATCCATGACCTAAAATGATTCCATTATAGTTAGTTCTTAAGAACACTGTCCAACTAGTCCAAGTGCTATGAAAATAGAATATAGAATACTCAAAGTTACAGTAGGTCCAATTCTTTTCTGGGAACAGACAACCAGGTCCTAAAAAAAGAAACCCCTTTCTCTAATCTTTGCTTGAAACAGGCTCATCCCAGTCAGGTCAGAGAATTATCTTACTTTGGATCACATCTCAGTACTAGCAGATTGTAGGGATCACCCTCTCCAAAGCCCCCCAATCCCATCCTTACCCCTCACAGGGCTACATGTGAAGAGAGGTAGATACTCCTGTATAAGGTCACCATTGGCTGGCAAAATGCAGACTATAAGATGTAGAGTAGAAAAAGCCTGACATATGGAAACAAAGCTTTAAATCATTGCTGATGCCATTTATTAGCTGTTTAACCTTATGCAAATCACTTACCTTCTCCCAGTTGCTGCTTCCTCACTTATAAAATGTAATAATAAGACTGCTTCACAGAGTTGTCAGGATCAAAGAAATGTGTGTTAACATGCTTTGCAAATTATGAAATACTATAATTATAATAATTACTATTCAATTCAAAAGTAATTTTAAAACACACTAAAAAACCTCTAATTTACAAAACAAGAAGTGTTTGATGTTAGCTGGGTAAATACGGTATGGAAACCGACCAGTTGTGGAAAATGATAAAGGGTGAAAGATGGCTACTTAACTGTTGTACTGCCTTTCTCTTTCCAATATTTGACAGATGCATTTTGTAGTCTTTTCCTGAGCGTGGATTATCTGATTTTGGAACACCAGTAACTGATGCCTTTGAAGAACGCTTCATTTTCCTTATGATGAAGTGCTCTGAAAGTACACAGATTCAGCATTTGAGGTCATAATCTATATTCTTGCACTATTTGGACAAGACTCAAGTGCCATATGAATGTTGGGCTAATTCCAGAACACGTTACAAAGGCAGGCATCATGGATCTGTTAATGTTGCTTACAGTTTACATGCTTTATGTACTAAAAATATTCTGAGGGACATGGAAAAGACAAGTGGATCTCTCCATAGCCTTCTAACTGGTCCACCAGTCTTCAGTCTCTGTGTCCTCTTGGTTCTCCTCCACACCACAGCTCGAGTTAATTCTGTAGAGCAATAATCCAGCTTTCTGACTCCCCAGCTTAAAATCTTTAAGGGACACTTCATTTCCTCCACACTGAAGTCCAGACTCCTTAGAGTTTTCTCAAGCTACGGTCCACTCTTTCAAATATCAAAACACCAACTTTCACCAGCATTCCTCCCTAGACTCTGTGAGAACAAGAACTTCTCACCATAATCAGCGAAAGTTTTTCAACTCTGTACCATTGATCACGCCATTTCCTCTTCCTGGAGTGACTTCCCTACCGCCAGCAAACATCTATTCATCTTTCAAGACCCCAGCTATTTGATGCCTCTTCTCTGAAGTTTTCCACCCTCTCTTTTTCAACAACTGTTCGCCCTGTCTCCAAGGTCCCATAATACCGTACATGTTTTTCTTTCACAGTACTTCTCATGTCATGATTTTTCCTGGCTGTCACCCCACCAAGCTCATTGAGGGCCAGAGGCATCTTGCTAACTATGGAATCCTCCATGTCTAGCGAGAGTGGAGAATTTTACATGCTTGTTTAAGAGCTTTCTGTCCTGGTTTTATCATGGAATAGCAGTGAGACTTTGGGCAAGTTCCTTAACCTCTTGGTACCTCAGTTCTCTCCATGGTAAAGTGAGAGGGTGTGTACTAAATGTACTGATTCCACCTTTGGTTTTCTATCCTTTGATGCATTACTCCGATTTGGATGCAGTTCCCAAATTCTTAGTCACTGCTTAGTCTCTTCTACTAAAGCAGGGGCTCTTCATTTTCTTCTGGTGCCATGGACCCCTATGGACAGATTCCTAAGAATTACATTTTATAAATGCATAAGAAAAAACACATAGGATCACAAAGGACTCTATATTGAAATCACTGTCAAAATATTTTCAAAAACAAAATTATAGGAATCTGTCCTCTTCAGGCGTTAAATAAGGTGAGCGCTCTAATAACTACTGTATTTGTGAGGTGGTAGACATACCAGAAATGGTATGTCAAGAAGTCTGCCATGACAGTAACACTGTATGAAAGTATCTGTGCTTTCTACTGGTGACTAAGTCCCAGGTACTGCTGATACTACCGTGCTTTGTTGCCTACACTATAAGTGAAAGAAATGTTAAAGTTCAGTTAGAGATGAGTGAATATAAAGTTGTAATTTTTTTCCCCATCTAAGTTCATATACCCCTTGAATTAAGAACTCTTGCCTTGGGGCGCCTGGGTGGCTCAGTCAGGTTGAGCATCCAACTCTTGCTTTCAGCTCAGGTCATGATCTCATGGGTTGTGGGATCAAAGGGGAGTTGGCTTGAAAATTCTCTCATTCTGCCTCTCCCCCTGCTCTCTCTCTTTCAAATAAATAAATCTGCCCTAATTTATCACTATACTTCACACTTTTATATACATGTGCCATTCCATTACAAATGCGGAGCCTTCAGAGTCTTCTCAATATTTGTCCTTGAGGATAGGGATAGGGATGGCTTGGAATATACAATTCTCTTGAGAAACAGAAAAGCAGCCCTTAACATGTGGAAGTTGGCCTGGCACTCACAGCTGGGATTTGGTACTATCCTCGCTTCCTAACAACACCCAAACCAGAGCAAAGCCTGGCTTCTTTGAATTCGCCCCCAAATTACCTAACCAAAGCTCAAAACTTTTTTTTTTTTTTTTCAAAGTAGGCTGCACGCCCAGCGTGGAGACCAACGGGGGTCTTGAGCTCACGACCCTGAGTTCAAGACCTGAGCTGAGATTAAGAGCCTGATGCTTAACTCACTGTGCCAGCCCAGGCGCCCCAGCCCAAATCTTATAATAAATTTTTCTAGCACCCTCTCACTGAGATGCCCTGCTGTGCCAAGTTGTGTGTTTTCCTTGCAGCAGTGAGGCATAATAAACCCAACTTGTTCAACTACAGATGTGTTCCTAGTGGTCTTTGGCTGGAGGGCGCGACGCGGCCTCACACAAACCCCCAAAATCTTTTGGATGCCCGCCTGGATGAATTTACACTTTCTATGGGGGTGAGGACGTGTAATATAGATCGAAATATGAAGCATACCCCCATTATGAGACAGTATAACAATTATTTAGGCGAGATCACAGGCTTTAAAGGCAGCCTACCTCGGTTTGGATTCTGGGTTCCCACTTTTTCCATGTGGCCTCGTACAAATTACTTCTCCGTGCCTCGGTTTCCTCATCTACTAGATTGGGAATAATCGTACTCACCTACCTGGGTTGTTGGAAAGATGAGATGAATATGTGTAAGGAGTTCAGATCAGAGCTGAGCACATAGTAAACACTGTGTTAGTGTTTTGTTAATTAGTGTACTCCTGCTAATTAGATCATTACTCTCATTATTACCTTTTCTAGTAGCATTAAGGGACATTTGATTCCCAGAGAGGGTCAGGGCCTTTCGAGACTAAAGGATATGGCAAATTAGATTAAATTTAAAAACCTCAGGAACTTCCAGCCCACGGAAAAAAAAAAATCTGAAAACCTTTTGTGAGATAATTCCAGGCCCCAGGGGTCGGCAGCTTCCGGCTGTGAGACTTTCAAAGACGCCTGAGACCAGCCGAGCGCCCCCGCCCGGCGGCCTCGGCGCACAGGATTCCCAGCCCACGCCGCTGGGCGCCCAATCGCGGTAGCGAAGGCCGATTCCCTGCGCTGCGAGGAACCCGGCGCCTCCCTCCTCTCGCCCCCGCGTGCCTCCCACACTGAGCTGGCGCTTTCCTGCCGCCTAGCAACGGTCGGCGCAGGGGCGGAGCCTCCGGGAGGCGGGGCTTGCGTTCGCTCCCTGACTGAGGAGCGACGCGTTACCGCTCAGCGACGCCGCTCCCAGACCAGGCTTCCGAGCAAGTCCTTCGCGGGATCGAATTGGCTGGTCGGCAGTCATCTGCACCGCGGCCCGCTTGCGGTCAGAGGAATCGGGGCCCTACTCGGCCGCCGTAGCCACCTCTCTGTAGTGGGCGGGGCCAAAGCCGGGGTGACCCCGCCGGAGCCACCTCTGCCAGCAGCATGTTCAAGGTGAGAGCGTGGAGCCGGGTCACAGCTGTCACCGCCCTCTCCCGGCCTCGCGGAGCCCTGGTCGCGCTCTCGTGGGCTTTCCCGGGGGCTAGGCCTGGTTCGCCCCGAGGCTTTTCCCGCCTCCGGGCCGGTGCGTCCGGACTCC